GAGATCAATGCACGTATAGTGAAAGCCAGAGCGGCTTATGCCAAACTGGGCCATCTTTGGCGCCTTCATGATGTTAGTCTGGCTGTAAAAGGTCGGATCTACAACGCGTCGGCGAGAGCAGTTTTGCTCTATGCTTGTGAAACCTGGTCTCTCCGAGTTGAGGATGTTACACGACTCTCTGTGTTTGATCATCGCTGTCTCCGAAGGATTGCTGGCATCCAGTGGCAACACCATGTCAGTAATGCAGAGGTTCGGCATCGTGTGTTCGGGCACAGAGACGATAATGCGATTGGTGTCACCATCTTGAAACACCGACTTCGGTGGCTTGGACATGTTCTACGAATGTCGTCCCAAAGAATTCCACGTCGTGCATTATTTGCCGACTCTGGAACTGGTTGGAAAAAGCGGAGAGGTGGTCAGTGTATGACATGGTGTCGTGGTATGAAAGAAAGCTGCAAAGGGCTAGCTTCTGTTGGTCCTTCACGACTCCCTGGTTGGGGTCCGAGAGACGGTGTAACGCAGTGGCTAGAGACGTTATCAGATATGGCTGAGAATAGAAGCCAGTGGCGATCCTGCCGTAACCTTCTTTTACTTTCTTCATAAAAAGTGTTTGTATCTTCCTTAACTGAAAGATCTCTTCTGATTGTACCTTTCCGTTTTCCCCATCCTTGTTCTCTCTCTCTGTCTTTTTTTATTTATCTATAATTCCCCACGTTCATTACTTTTTTTTCTCTTTTGTCCTCTTCAAATTATCATTGTTTTGTGTGGCGCATATATATTTGGTGCCCCCCGTACCAATATTTATGTGTTCAAATAAATAAATAAATGAGAAGCTCAGATACAGCCGAAAATATTCCATTCAATCATCCTTAGGAAGGATATTCCAGAATCTATACGTATAGCTTCTCTTTTGGACAAATGCTAAAACCCCCTGTATTCGGATTGGATGACTAAAATGATGATTTCCTTTTTACTAAAAAACTAAATACCTGATAATTTTGTATCATATTTGACAGTTTGACATAGCATTCCTTTCACTTGTCTTCCCATTTGCGACTTTGAGGGTTCTAGCGTTCGAGTGCTTAAGTTGTACCCGGTATAATAAGAATCTAACCTCTAGATATAACATTACTAAATATCATCAAGTATATAAACCTTGAGTTTTGCACCCTATCAGCGTTTAGATATGGAGGATTCCATTCAGTGCATCATTATGTCACTATCACGCTAATTTATTTAACTAGTTGACTGATTAATTTATTCAATTCTTCAATAGTGTTAATTTTATTTCTATCGTTTTAAACTGTTATTCTGTAGATGTCATTATTGAAAGATGTAATGTGAAAGTGGATCAGTGAAGCATTAGTTAAATCAGACAATTTTCTCTAGCCAAGGTTGTATGGTAAATGAAATGCAAATCTAAACAAACTATGATGAATGGGTATTTTGTTAAATTTTATGTTACATAAGTATTTAGAAGTATCAGGATGTATTCAAATAATAGTTGTAGCTAATTCAATCGTGTTTCACTAACTTAATAACATGTCGCTACTCTGGCTGTTTAGTCAGCATAGTGGTAGGAACCGATCACAATGACTGAGTTTCTCCTCAAATCACACTTTAGGAGTACTGAGGAAGTTATTGAGTGTAACTTAATTGTAAATGAACACGAATAAAAATTAGAAGATTAGGAAACAGGTAAATATACTAACAGTAATATGTTTACTTTAAAAGAACATAAATGAACACATTTCTGTTATCAGAATCTACAAATAATCTGAGCTATTATCATTTAGCTCAAAACAATATATGGATATTACTTTCTTTAGTTCCAATTTTATGTATATCATGTGTTTTTTCTTCAATAATTTATTCAGATATTTGAGCTTTTCTTTTCTTAACAAACTTCTTTTCAGCTCTTACTTTTAGACGCTGATAGATTTTCTCGAAACCCAGTACCTATCATGAAGATTGTGCAGCAATTTATATTAGTTCGTAGGCAGTTAGATTATTCACGATACTTACAGTAAGTATGTAGGCATATTTCACAGATATATTTCTACGTATTTTACCTTTTATAGTTTCATAATGACTGATAACAACCATTGAACTATAGAGTATTGGACGACTGTTTCGTTTTAGTTTAATGGCCAATCATGAGTACACATTATTTCACACTGTTTACCATACAATAGTGATTGTTAGCTAATTTTATAACTAAATGCAAAAATACATGTTACTGAATAGTAGCACAATCAGTAGCTTTCTCCAGTCATCATTGTGATCTTAATATTGGATGATAATATTGCCTCTGTAATTAGTGAGAATACCTTTTTTTACATATACCTGCATTTCACAAAATTATACTCGTCGCAAATTACTCATGGAACAAACAACGAAACGGTATATGCCCAAACTGATATGCACAACTTAAAACCTATGAGTATTTTTTGCTATTCGTTTATGCTTACTTATTAAGATGTTGGTTGATTCAGTTGTAAGAAATTAATAAGAGCTCATTGAATAACAAGTGACCATCGCAAGTCAATACGTGGATGATGGGTTCCTATAAGACGTTCAACTGAGAGAGATCTAAGTCACTGTAGTTGGTGGGTTTCAAATACGCTAAACGTTTATTCTAAATTCACTGTTATCCATAACCAAGTTCAAGCAACTATTCAATATTATTTAACTTTAAATTATTTTATATGTTAAAAGATCTATAATGACTTCAATTAAATTTAAGAAAACACAACACCTTTTTTTTCTTACTATTTGTGTTTAGCTTCAATCGTAAAAAAGGCTTCTTTTGTGTGGTTACTAGAAACGCATTTAATTGGAATAATGGTTGCTTGGGTCGAAGTAAAGGAAGAACCTATGAACAATTAGATCGCAATATTTTATTGCCAAACTTAATGGAATTGTATTTCTCTAAGGCTAATCATAAACTGTATAAATTATTACAAAAATATCCTCTATGGAATAGTGCATTGACATTAAATACATATAAACTCCCATCATGGATTAAAATGAGCAATTAGCCTATTTAAGTCTTTTGTTTCCTGGTTAACTGCTTGTACAAAATATTGCCATTTCTGCATTTCCTGATTAATAAACTTCAGAAGATTAACTTTTCTCTTTATATATATTAGTGACGCTGTATATCATTTAAAAGCGATTATCTCGCTAGATTATGAACATTAAGAAAAGCAATACAAACAGATATGATGGGTAATGTATCTACTAAACCGATTTTAACATCAATATAGGAAACCGCACTCGAAAAACAACTATATCGCTCAGCAACATACATTTTTAATCTATGGATATATAACAGTGGAAGTAAAATGTTGGTCGCTTTTGGATGTAAAATATGGGTTTTATGTGAACATATAGATCAGAATCGTTCGGGTTACATATAAGATAAAGATAGCAGCTTAATCTACTTTGGTCGATAGACTAATTATATTGTTTTTTATTCATTATATGCTGGTAACTATAGAACATGCATAAACGGAGCTTCATATCTGTTAGTGAAAAGCTCAGACGTTTGAACATACTTCAATGGTCCTCATGTAAGTCACCTCTTGAAGATCTTGTCTATATAGAATTCAGGAACGACTACAGTGGCATGATGAATCTGTTATCTACAATCTTAAAGATTTCAATATAACCCTGATCGTGTGTTCTATTTCTAGTGATCTTACCGTGAAGAGCACCTGGCTATATAAATACATGCAAACAAACAACTATCCATACCCAAGCTGGTTGTCAATAAAAATTACTGTTTTAAGATCTAAACGTGTGCCATTTTTTGACGAAAACAAATTTGTAGTATTCCTGAACTGTTTTCAGTATTCGGACGATATATACTGAAACCAGATAATTTAGTTTCCTTTTAGGTCATTGTTAGTGAAATCCAAACTGATAACCGAAATCACAAACGGGGATACGATAACGGTGAACTTAAGAAAATAACAAAGTCTTTATATCTTCCTATAAGTTCATATAAAGGGATAACATTCGCACTGATTTTAAAACCAACCATTTCCACAAATAATCAGAATGGGCAGAAATGAATCAAACACTTTTCGCCGTAATAGTCAAACATGTTGCTTCTATATATATATAGCCATTCAGTCACCGATCTTGTAAATTTTCTAATTTCCTTTCAGTCAAAAACTGCATTAATCCTACGGTTTGTTGAGTAGCTTTACAGGTTTATTTTTGTAGTCAATCAGCTGCCGTGAGTGTTACGAAACTGCTCTCAATAATTCACAAGTCATTGCAAGATATTTCAAATGTTATATTCGTGTATTCTTTAGTTATAGGTCCATTTCATCTCACAATGGTCCCAATTATGCAACCATACTGTGGGCTCCTAATAGTTTATGTTGTAAATTTTTTAAACAGAAACCCTACACTTTTCCTTTAACTACCTCTAGTACTTTGCTGTTCCTAATGTTTTTTTTTGCAATATTTCTACTTAGATATAAAGATTGTACTTGTCGAACACAGTGAGACGAGTGTCTTCAAATGATATCCTAACTTAGTTTATTTATGGCAACGACGATATGATCTTCCTACTGTGGAAAGAAGGAACTCCCCTTTGATGAACCGTAGTATATGTTTGTAGTTTAGCGATGTTTGATACTTGAAACCCACTCAAAAATTTTATTCCATTTAGCATACCATAATTCATGCAATCACACAAGACCGTTGGCTATTAAAATATATGTTTCTCCTAAGAACTCATACGCAAATGTGGGTGTTGTTGCAGTTTACACAACTCATAAAGCGAAATACTGCTAGTTAATCGTACCAGTGTTGTGTTATTTTACCGTTTGAATAACCTCATGCACATATATACGTCTAATGTGGTTTCTTGGGGAATATAAATAGGCTTTGAAACAGGGAAATGTAACTAAGTGTCTAATTTTTTCAGAAAATAATAAGTTAATACCATAAAAATCACAAAAGGTTATAGGAAGACCTTAGGATAGAATCACAGAATACTTTTTATTTACAAACTTCATATTGTAAAACGCAGTCAAAAGGTAATGGTCTTAATGCTTCACGTAAATTTCATCTAATAGACAGAAAGTCGTTCCAACTTTCTATCAAGTGCTGGATTCACTCACTACGGTCGGTAAGTTTGATTTAAGATGTGAACTCTGGGTGGTTCTTAATGAATTATTTTCATCCAGACAGCTGTATTCATTACCACCAGCCGTTGGGTCAAGTTGTCTATTTGAATGTTTGGAAGAGTGATCTAGCTTCCCAGAACCCGGTACCAAAGAGATTGTCAGTTTTAAGGGTGATCGATGATGATTAGCTGTTCCGTTAGAATATTTGCATTCTAGTTGGTCAGATGTTGCTGAGTTCTTGTACGAGATCATGTCTCCCGAAGATGACTCCAAGAAATTCTCCTCAGTTTCGGTATCATCATCTTCTAAACGTTGTTGTTCTGCTATGCGCCTAAAAGTACAAAAATACTTTGTTTCACAATGATCAACTCTTGTATTAGAGTTTAAGTTGATGATATAACACCACTGCCCTGACCAATGTAAGCAGCGGTTTTTGTTTCTTATAATGGAAGAGTGGAAATACGGGTCCCCAAATATCTATAATTATTGTCAGTGCATTCGCACTTTAAGTTTTAGCAGTACGGAATATTATGTGGCACTCCAAATGTAAACCTTCAATAATTTCGAAAGATATAACTACTACACTTAATATGTTCTCACCTGAGAATAGTATTTCTCCCAACTTCATGTTACTCTTGATATCCTTAAATACCACTTCATTCCATACATATAAAAACTAATAACTGGCATTCCAAACGTATGGGAAAACCACATTGAGTTTACCGCAAATTCTATTTAGATCCCAATTTACACTAAGAATAAAATTAGGACTATTAAGCGTGCAACGGCGGTGTGAGGTACGACTGCGCATGCTATTTGTCAGTCTAAACAGTTCGAAGTTTCGGTTCTAAAACCTATTGTCAACAAAGAACCTGGCAATACTGCAAGGAATGAATTACACTGATATTTTGGGTGATATATTTCGAAAGGGAGACAATTTGTTGGTGTCTCAATAAAATTTATTACGGTAGACTTCATAATAGAGACAAAGATACTAACGACTGATCCATGAAAGTAAACTTAGCAAGACCAAAGTTTCAATAAAACATCAATATAGAAGTGTCTCACTTACTTGTTGGCTCTTCTTGAACTGTTTCTTCCTAATCCCATACAATTAGATAAATGGACAGCATAACGTGTAGCAGCAACCTTACAATTACATTTCCCACATCGACAGCAACTAGCAGTTTTGCTAGGGTCTCTGCCAGAGCCTGAATTCGAAGAAACATTGCCAAGATTATCCGATAAGTTTGGATTTTGTTCAGGAGCAATAATATGGAAATATCCTAATTTTATCGCACGATGCATTGTTAAAATTCCATCCATCAAACATGAGTCAACTAACTCATCAATAAATTCTTGCAGAATATCCTGAAGATCACTATGTGTTACAGCAAAGGGCTTTTGCATTTATGTCGTATTAATGTACGTGTAAACTTCAGGACCGCTACTTGGTAAATAAAAAACGGAAATGTATTTTCTCTTAATGAAGTACGTGTATTCATGTATCTATATTCAGTGAAGCAATACAAGTTGGCAAGTCCTTATGAAATCAAACAGTATAACAAGGCCTCAACAATCTTATAAGTACACGACTATAAAGAAAAAGGGTTATAAACTGATTTATCACTTTTACAAGGACAAAAACTATTATGTACCTCATTATAGTAAGTATTGGTCATCAAAATTCGGACAATAGATTTCCGTTTAACCTATATGTTCACTGATATTAAGAAAATGAGAATAAAAACCATTTGAGTCAGGTGATAACCATCTAAACGCCGAGAAAGTAATCAAATAAAGGAGCGGAAAGCTCACGTGTAGAGCTTATACTCCAAAATAAAACTAGTTGACAACGACCAGAACGATAAAAGGGTGAGCTTTATAAGCCCTCAAGTTGTATTTTAAAAACATTCCGAGCGTTATATGCCCTTGAATAACAGGTAAAAATAAAAATTCGACATGTCTTCAGTAATAAGGATAGGAGGTCTATCGACCTGTGTTAATCCTTACAGTTTGTAATACTGTGGAGGTCCAATCTCGTCTTGAATATATCAACAGGTGCTGATATTACGTGTTCCGATAGAGAATTCCAATAATTCACTACTCGATGAGAGAAACGAAACTCCAGACGTAAATGATTTGATCTGAGTTTTTGAATTTTTTCGTGTGTCCTCTCAAACAATCAGTCCTAGACGGAAGTAAGAGATAAGGCATGTTAATACCAAGGTCATCGTTCAGTATACGATAAGCCAATATTAGATCACCTCGTATTCGACGGTAAGATAACGGAAATAAGTTGAGGTGTCTCAATCTGTCTTCATAAGATAGTCCAGAGAAACCTTGTACCATCTTAGTACCTCGTCGTTGGACTCTTTTCAGCATATCTGCTTCATACTTGAAACAAGGACTCGCTGCTTGAATTCCATATTCTAAATGTGGTCGTACATAAATCGGGTAAAGTAATCTAAACATTTCATCATCTAAAAACTGAAAAGACCTACGAATAGACCATAATACCCTATAGCCTTTCGCAGCGTAAAAATGTATAAGAGCGCAAAAAGGGGTTATCTGGGTACAGAGAAATAACATTTGACTAACATTAGTAAGTTCAAACATAATACGAGTTCCAAAACAACTTTCGGAGGCCGTTAACCTATAAACCTAAACAACCTTCACATTTAGCAATTCCGGTCAAACAGGTGCCCAAAGTGAACGACTTCTCACTGAAAGAATATTGATTGGAATATGTTTTAAGGATTTTTATCTTAAACACGAGGTCGTTTCACAATAAAAACTGAGTGACAATGATTATCTTGCTTCAATGTTCAATAGGAATGGTGCGTCAAACATATTGTTCAGTGTCGTATTAAACTGTACAGTTTTTCACTCTAGTCATCCAGGCGTAGATACAGTCCTTCGCAGACCGAAGAAGTAAATAAGGTGAAACTTGGGGACTATTATTACCTGGTAAACATTTTACTGTCACATGCATTATTCACTCATAATGTGATGGGAAAAGCGCTTAATTCTACACACATGTGAAATGAGAAGATATGCACCACAAGTCCATGCTATTACGTGGTTTAAATGGTTGTGGACGGGATAGGAATGTTCGTTTAACGGGCTTCCGTATCTAATAGCAATGGATCACTAATACCTACAGGCAGGAACCTAGGTATATTGATGGTAAAAAAAGAAAAAGAAATCGATTAATCATAGTAAGATACTATCCTTAGTCTTTAAGAATAGGACAGGTTACCTTTTAAAGGACTCCTGAGAAGTCACTTGGACTAGCTCAGCCTGCAGCGAATTCCAGCGTTTGACAACTCGTAAGGAGTGGAAGTTGTGTCTAGAGTCCATTCTGTTGTATTGTGACTCTAGTTTCTGGGTGTTACACCCTATGTTTGTGTTGGGACTGAGCTTAAGTAGGTGTTTAAGAGGATGAACAGAAGTATTTAGGATGCTGTAAGCCATTAGGTCACACCTAAGACGCATGTACTCTAATAAGTTTAGGTTTAGTTGGTGAAGGCGCTCTTCATAACGTTTGAATTTGAGTTCTCAAACTGATTTCGTGGCTCGCCGATGGATACGCTCCAGAGTGTCGTTATCCTTTTGGAGTGAGGAAGAAATTACCATGTTTTTGTATTCTAAATGCGAACGAGTAAAACTGAAGATTATGTGGAAAATTCTTCCACCAAACTGGCCAAAAATGTTTTTCAGTGTTTTTAGTTCAAAGTTTGCTCGAAAGGCATTTTTGTCACAGTTAGTGTAAGACTTCAAATCGTAGGGCATCAGCACTTCCAAATCTTTTTCGACTCACGACACTACTAGAGAGGAGTTTCTGAAGTTGTGACTGCAGTCTGCGACATGCTTCACGTGGACTAGTTTACACATTGAAGTGTAAAAGGTAAGTCCGTTATCGTCTCCCCAACTTTGAAGTTGAGTCAGATCCCCCTGAAGTGCCAGAGTACCGTCTTGGTTGGGTGTATCTCTCTCCAAAGTTTCATATCATCAGCGAAAAGTAATAAATCTGACGTTACCTGTCGTAGAAGAATATTAATATGGATCAAGAAGAGAAGTCATAGTACTGAGCCCTGTGGGACTCCACTGGGACATTCCATAGCCTGAGATAAAGTGACCTGACGTTTAAATGTCGTTTTTTTCAGATATAAAGTGAGTCAATCAATTAGAGGTGGTTTGATACCCAATCATTTGAGCTTATTGATAAGACATATATGGTTGACCCTATCAGAAGCTTTAGAGAAATCAAGGTATATGATGTCAACCCTCCCTTTGCGATCAACGATGCTCGTCCATCTGTCCACCGCAGTCAACAGGTTTGTTATACAAGGATAACCCTCTCTGAAACCATGCTGTTGGAGTGAGAAGAAATTTAAGGACAGTAAGTAGTCATGTATACCATCGCATATCAGGGACTCCATGATTTTTGAAGGTATAGAGAGAAGAGCCACCGGTCGGTAACTTGAAGGTTCGCTGCGTTGACCTCCTTTGAAGGTTGGTGTGTTATGAGCCAATTTCCAATTTTCCGGTAGTTTGCCTCGGCTTAGCGAGTATGAGAACATCACGCTAAGCGGTGTTACCAGGCTTGAGGCTGCTTCCCTCAGTATAGCAGAATGGGCCATATCTGTGCCAGGAGAAGTGTCTGTTCTTAGGTGCTGCAGTTTCCGGGACACCAAGTTAGCGCTCAGGTTCACTACGGAAAGTCCTGTGCAGTTGCAGATGAAGCTGTCATCAATATGGTTGATGTGGTTTGGTTGAAATGTCCGAGAGTACGGTTCAGCCAGAAGGATAGCGGCCTTACCGTCACTATCGGTCAGGCCATTAGGACCTAATAGTTGGGAAACTGCAGTTTTGGCTTGACGAAGAGAGGATGCATAACGGAATAGGCTTTTCAGATTAGAGACAAATTTATCGATAAGCTTTGTCTTCTCTCATAACCTTCGTGCATATGTTTCTTATGTGTTTGTATTGCCTGTACGTGCTGTTGTTACCAGTTCGTTTGTAATCTGCCCAACAGTGCCTTTTATGGCTTAACAAACAGAGAGTGAGGTACCTGATGATTGTAGGTTGCTTGTAGCTTTTGGGGACAGTTTGAGGAGCTGACTGCTTTGTAAGGCATAACAGCGTGTGAAATAAGAAGTCCCAACGAGCATCCACATCAAGTTGAGGGTGAACATCCCAATCCACCTGTTGTAGATATTCCCGTAGAGCTGACACACTCAACCGTTTAAAATTCCAGTGTCTGTTGTTGTTGTGATAACTTAGCTCAGTTTTTCTGACGAAACTGAAGGCTAAAACAGCATGATCGCTCCTCTCAAGGAGAGCCAGGATTAAGAGGTTACCAATTAGGAATTTCTTGTTTGTAAATACACGGTCTAAGCGCGACGGTATCTGACTATTTCTCCACCGATTTGCCTACTTCACGTTTTCGAATAATCCCAAATCCTTGAAGAGGTTGAAGAAGTGAGCTTCTTTCTCTAATATACTTATGTTCCGCGAAGTTGATGGGTGTACCTAATCACAGATTAGTTATAATCTTCAGTATAACCTCGGAAATTTTGATATTTATTTTAATTTGAACATGTTGGGTGTGGTGATTTAGTCTTAGCAATCAAACTTTATTTTTGCATGAAGAAAATATTTTGAAGGCAATACTAAATAGTTTAGGAAGACCGATTGCCGTGGTCTATGTCAGCAGTGGGTTTCCTGTAGATGACTACTACTAGACACCTCGAGGTTGTAGATAATCTTACTGAGCACCATACAGATTTATGAAGATCGTTAAACTCTTGGTTGTGTGCTTGATGTACCTCCAGGCAGGCTAGTAAGTATGAGTCTACTCCACTTCCAATTCCTGTTTTACTGTCATTGCGAAACAAAGACATCCCGTGCACTACATTTAAATTGGCTTGTTCGTTCATACACTATAGTTTCCTCAATATATCTTTCTGGCGTATATAAATGTAAAACGTAATGGGATGCCCTTTATTTAGATACACCAAGTTGATTTCACATATGACAATGCATCTCATAGTCTGTAGCTTATAAAATGTTTGGTTACTGAAGACAAATTGAGCTGAGTGCAAATTAGGATTTTAGGTCACAATACTCGCTATATACAAGAACAAGCTATAGACTTCTAGTTATCGTTTATTTCATCGTTCAGTCAAGGTCGTGGGTCAAAATCGAGAAATGTCCTTTATACCCCAACTCTGGAGACGATGAATGCTGACCCGTCTAGCATAATGTTTTTCATTAATAGGTATATTAATTATGTTTAGATGTTAAGTGACTTAAATTTTTGTTAATACGGCGTTTAAAAATTGATATTGTTTTCATCAAATAGATTTGATTACCTGTAGATATTTATGAGTGAACATTGCTGAGTTTGCTGCGATAGATGTTTGCGCTTACAGTGCTATAAACGGTTAAGACATTGTTTTTAACTATCCCGTTGCTAGTATGTTTAACTCTGACTACAAAGCTAAATCGTGATAAATATTGTCGTCATTCAATTTGATGTTCACTCGTTTAGTCCTCATAAGCTAACTGTGTAGAGAGGAGGCACTTCAAGAACTACTATTGTTGAAAACGTATGCTTTGACTTGATCAAAAGCATTTTTACAGAGTTTGCATCAGCTGGCGGACGTAAAAATTTTCAAATCATCCCAGCCACTAGTGGTGAGAATTCTGTGGTAATTGAAATATATTCCAAAGTCTATTGAACCTCAACAAATAACATTATTTGATGTCCTGTATGATGAACTAGATAATCCTTTATTGTATTTTAAATATAATATTTTCTGCTTTCAATAATTTACAGTTTATATGTAATCGAAGAAAAAGATCACAAATACAGCGAATTAATCATCCACTAGTTTTGACTAACTACTCAGTGGCATAAATGAAGATCAGTTGAGCTAAATCGTCTTAGTTAATGACTTATTTTAACTTGTAAATAATCCAAGTAATGAGGCAAAACGGATTGATTGTTTTAGTGAAATACTTTTGTGCAGAAATATTAGTAGCATTAAGGTTTGAACAGTGATAAAAATTAGCGACTTAATTCACCATCTACTTAAATATACTCTTTTTTTCTAGAGATTTGTAGCTCTGAGCTACCTGTTCCTACTATCTACATATTTCAACAAGTTATCTGTTTCCTTGTTTTTTAACAGATCATTATGTCAATTAGTTTCATAACTTATTCAGATGCGCTTGTGAAGAGTTTACAACCTTTCGCTGTGCAAGTTACAAAAATTTACAATCGTAGACACCATGATTGCTGGCAATGTGCATTGAAAAGAATGAATATCATTCGGATGTCGACTTCTGAAATGCCAATATCCAACTGGCAATCACTCAATATTTATCGTCGATATCGATCAAGAAATAAAAAACGGAAACTTGTTGAACTACTTTGTGCTGAGAATTATATATTGCGCCAAAAATATAATATTGAATAAAGCTAATAATAATAATAGTATAATATACATAATATAATCTGGATATTTGTGGAATGATCAAAAGTTTTGCAATATACAGTGATGATTTTGTCCAGAATGACAAATAAAGCTATGATGTATCTAAACCATCCGGCTAAGAAAACAATATTACCGAAACAATTTTACTAATATAAGGTCTCATGGATTCGAAAAACAAAAACATGATAAAGGAAAAAAATTAGTGATTATTTTCATTTGTTTAAAATAAAACTAGATTGAACATGAATTATTTAACTGGTACTTAAGAAATGAAAGAAAATAAATTAAGAGTCGACAATAGTGTTCTAAGGTACTTTTCCTGGAATTGGAGATATAGC